GCTGACTGGGGGACGCCTGGGGCAGAGAAGCTGGGGTGCTGCCGGGTTGGTCCCGTAATGCCGAGGAGCGGCACTGCGGGACCAGCCCCCGGCAGCACTCCAGATGCTCTGCCCCAGGCGTCCCCAAGAGCAGCTGGGGTGCTACCGGGTTGGTCCCGCAGCCCCGCCCTCTCCCATGCTGAGCAGGTCCCCGCCGACCCCCCTCAGATCCCTCATAGCCTCCCTTCCAGTACTCCGGCATATCTGATAATCCGGCACCCCCTGGGTCCTAAAGGTGCATGATTATCGGAAGTTTACTGTATTTTTGACATGGATTAATGAAACATTGTGTATAACCATGATAAAGCATTTACATGCTTTAACAATGCGAAAATGTTAGCAACTTTACAAACATTTTGCTATGGTTCTGAAATCTGATAGATATCCCTCCACAAAAATCCAGTTTTTGAGCATATTTATGTAACAGACAACTACTCTCCCCTGTGGCTACACTTTTTATTATTGCTTTAGTACTGTATTTTTTATTAGCAGAGAATGCAAAAAAGTAATACAATGATTCGCTTTAGAAAAGACATTAAAATAAGTACATGCATTTATTAAAGTTTCATAACCCTGTGAACGTTGAATTTTCTGGAGCTAAGTTAAACAGAATGAGTCTTTGTTCACCTTCATTGCCAAGACTTTTTTCAGAGAGCAGAAGAAAGTTGATTTAAAAAAAAAAAACTGGGAAAAGGAGGTTTCTACACATACTATGAATACACAGACTCTACAGAGTAGCACAAAGCTGGCATTCAACTCCAAGTTGTTGGCTCCAACTTATAAATGAGTACATTTTCCTCAAATATATTCCAGCTGAATTGCCTTTGGCCTATCTCAGAGAAGCAGTGAGGTGAGGACAGACGGACACTCTGAAATATTTTCTCTGTTCATATGCAGTTTCTCTCAAGCTAATCGTATATTCATAATGCTGCTCCCAGCATTATGATTATTAGTTACATTAAACTTCTAATTAAACAGAAAAAATATTCCAACTAGTAGATATAGCTTTAAATCACAAGACTTCCCAATTTAAATATCTACACAGAATCACAAACATCCCAAAATAGTTAATAGTAAGTGTATGTGGATTGTGACTTTAATAAAGGTGCAATGCTAGTAATTGCTTTCTATGATTTTATGTTTTCTCTACTGATATGTAACAGATTACTTATTTAACTGACAATGTTAAATGGCCTTCCCCATATAAATTCCTTCTGTGTCAATGATAAAGGACTTCCCACACCCACACCCGATATATAACTGTTCTACCATTTCACTTTTTAGTATAAGCCACCTATGGGTGGAAGTCTCAAGTGGTACCTCCTCAGGGAAGTTATATCAATTAATTTTATTAAGTGGTGTGCAAGATCAATGCTTTTCTCAGTGCTTGCACATGAGTAAGTTCTACATTTGCATAAGGATGTTAAACACATTGTTCTGTAGGCAAGCAATATACTCGTGAGAGTTGATATTAGCAAATGATATTTACAGTGTTCAAAATCAAATCATATAGACCAACTACCTCTACAATAGGAAAGAAAAGAAAGCCAAGAAGTCTGAAGTGTTTCCTCTTTCTAGTACAAGCTGACCATCAAATAAACCTATTCCGAAGTCTCCATTTCTTCTTGGTTTTAATTATTCCCCTCCTCTTTAGGAAAAAGGAACTGCTAAGTCATTATGATCAGCAAAAAGCCATTACATAGATTTAGTAAGAAATAAGATCTTTCATATCAACAATAACTAATTTGCTCCACTCTTTATTTTTAGTTTTATCAGGAACTTCTGTGGTTTCTTCATTCATCCCTCCCAAAATGATCCCTTACATCCAAATTTAGTACATGGCAGATATGACTTACACACTCTGTAGACAGCCAATCTATAGAAGATAGTTTTGCATTTACATATGAATGACAAATTTTGATTAAAAAGGTGGTAAGTTACAGGAAAACAAAGTTATCATGCATTCACAACTGAGATATGAAGATTAGAAAAAAACCCCACATTTTCTGTAGCAATACAGCAGCTTATATTTGACAGAAAATATTTAATGTGCAACTAAAGACTTGCAATTTGGAATAAGAGTCCTACCTTTTGCGCATCTCCTGTGAAATAGGCAATGGCCAAGGTGGGAAGAATCATAAACAGTGCATTGTAATAAAGTAGACCATATCTTCCCAGCTCCTAGAGACAGGAAATAGTTGCACGTTTAGATTGGCTCCAGCAAACAGAGACATAAAACCTTATACATAAGGCTACACAAAACCAGGTCTCATCAGTGAAATGAATGTGGTATTCCTGCATAATTAGAAGCAAAACATGGACATTTTAAATTATTATAAAAGAAGCCTGCCTTGCACGTGACACTTTTAGATCAAGTGGGCCAATTCCGTGCTTGGGTGTTCCGTCAGAGACCCATAAGGCATTGCTGAAATATTAACAACCATCAATATTCAAGTCTTAAAATTCAGACACTTTTAAGGATATACTCAAGTTTAATTTCAAGTAGTGAAAGCAATTTGATTTGGAATTACTGAGAAGATAAGAGGGGGTCAGCTGTTCCTCAGAATATGAGCAGGCCTGTGCATCCGCTAAGTAAATGACCTCTATGGACCTCACAACCAACCACCAATGCAGACATAGCCAAACTCTGTTGGAGCTCAAGAGCTCAAAAGCTGTCTCTCTCACCAACAGAAACTGGTCCAATAAAAGGGTACGTCTAGACTACATGCCTCTGTCGCCAGAGGCATGTAGATTAGGCTACCAGGCATAGGAAAATGAAGCGGCGATTTAAATAATCGCCGTTTCATTTAAATTTACATGGCCGCCGCGCTGAGCCGACAAACACCTGATCAGCTGTTTGTCGGCTCAGCGTGGTAGTCTGGACGCGCGGGTGTCGACATCAAAGGCATTTGTCAACCACCCAGGTATACCTCACCCATATGTCTCTCTGAGACACCTGAAATCAGCAATTACTACTGAGCGCTCATTCTGATTGGATTTTCTGCATCATTATGGTTTGGCTCTGTTTATATCAGTAGCCAAAGCATTCAATAATAATTTTCTGAGAGTGGAGGAAAGGTGCATTGTTGGGGGAGTTGTATTTTGACATGAGTTCTCTCAAACACTGACCAATTCCCAACAACAGAGAAAAAGAAGAGTGTACCTCAGCAGCAGGCTTGATGAAGCACTATTTATCAGACTTCTAAATCTCTCCCTTGCATTTTGTTCATTAGGCAATACTTTCACCTAGTTTGACTTCTGTTCAGTAGGCCTGGAAATCTGGTTAATAGTTATTAATAAAGTGGAAATGCCTTCCTTGTTAAACTCTGGAACACTTTAAGATTGCAGGATATGGATATGCCCAGAGCATACCTACCTCAAACTTTGCATGTTACTTTGTTCTTTCTCATAGCATCAGACTAGTGACATAACCCACCTTATTCACATGCAAGCTGCATTTTTATACACACAAAATATCACACAAAAATCATGTAACTTCATCACAGGAAACAAAAGGAGAAGCAGCAGCAATAAACTCAACATTCACAATGAATATCAAGAAAATACTGCATATCACAGGAAACAGATGCCCCAAAGGATTTACAGTGAACTTATACTTGTACCTTCCCGGCCAGATTAATAGAAATGGAATTCACCAGCAGTGTGAGGGTTTGTCCTCTACCTTGTACTTAAGTTATATTTAGCCTTCACACTATATGTTGTGCACATCTGATAAGCTCATCCTTGCACTTTCAGGGTAGCCAAAACAATCATTGTCTGTCTCAGAAGTTGAATTACTAGAAACAGCAATACTGTTTAAAGCCTAGCTAAATACAGCACATTTATGTTCACTGTTGGTAAGGAGATGAACAGGGACTCGCAATTGCCACAAAGTGCACTACAATGCATCCTTCAGCTCCAGTGTTAAAAAAAAAAAACAGTTGCAGCAATAAGGACAGAAGTTCATTTCCATGGCCTGCTGCAGAAAAAAGGGTAAAACGGGCTGATGTATCAGCTTTCCCTGCCTTTGAAAATGAAGAGAGGGAGGGAAGTGGTCAGGCCTCTGTCAAGTAAAGAACCGGGTTTTTAAATTCTTTTGAAAGACCCTGACTTTATACCTAAATAATTATATCTATTATTTCACGTTACAAATAAATGTAGCTCCAATAAAAAAATAACGAGTTATGCTTACAGTTTGATACAACTAAATGTATAGCTTATTTCAAAATACATACAACTGTATTTGCAAATAAACATAAGTGTCAAGTTAAGATCCAAAAGAATATTTTTTAGGACAAACAAGAACAAAAAACTACAGAAGTTCTACATTAAATAATAGTGACGAGATATGAGGAGTTCAGTGACAGAGCACAATGCTTGAGGAAATGAACAGCTCATCAAAATATTGTGTTGCCAGCTGCAGAATACACTCACATTTCCAGTCTACAACAATTAGCTTTCTATTCATTTACCGATAATGTGCAAATTTTTTAAAAGTGGCAGTATTGTAGGTTAGTTGCTACTCTGCTATACAATAATGGCATTTTTAAAATTGAGAATGGAAGTCAGCCTACCTTTGAATCCAGTTTCTGTTTTACATATGCACCATTTGCAGCTGTCAAGACATCGTTAATCAGGATAAAAATATATCCTTCTAGATCAAATGCCAAATCAGTACTGGAAGGGGAAATTAAGATTTTAAATTGCTCAGACTGTAACATTTACAAAACTCCTCCATGTTATATTTTGTCTGATGTAAAATGTAAAAAAGCCATTTCCAGAGAGCTTACCTTGTAAGCCAGTCTCTGCAATTGAGGCACTGAGCTAAAACTCTATATCACAAATTCTGTGTTCAGCACAACTTATTGAACAAACTAAAGCCCCGATCCCCATAAATGGCACAAAAATCTTATACATGTTTAATTTTACTAGCATGAGCAGTCCCCTTGATATCAGTGGAATGACTCCTGAGAGAGTGCAGTCCACCATCTTCTCTAATTCTGAACTTTTTAAAAAAAATGAAAAACAAACATTATACCATTAACTAGCTATCTAGTCTTCTCACAGGTAAAATGAGTTTTTCTACTTACTTTGTCCAGACAATTAAATTCAATGTGTTCACTGCTTTCAAAACATCCATGTAAAAGGATCATAAACTATTTAAAATTAAGCTTTGATATGACGATTTAAGCCTTGTTTATATTATAAAATAATATCACTTTCACTTTTTCAAGTATACTGATATACAGGAGCTTGTCCCAATATACTTTATTACTCCCTCTAGAAGGTGAATAAGTTATACTGATAAAAGGCACCTTAATACCAATATAACGGCATCTACACCAGGGCTTTTACTGATACAGTTATAAGTACAAATAAAGCCATACCCTTAACCAAATAAGCAGAACATCAAATTCAGACCAGGCCATAGCGCATCCTACCACTATCTACATCACAGCTTTCCCATAATCATCCCAGACAGTGAAAAAAAGTGGAAGCTGAACAAGGACAAGTTATGCTTTCAAGTTTAGAATTTTCTACTTGGTCTATTCATCTTTTAAAGTGCCACCTTTACATTATTAAAATTTATTAATTCTAATTAACTTTGTAAACTTACTGACATTCTCTCTACAAGCCATTTCAAAGACAAATTGTCATAATATAAAATGTAAACAACTGTGTAATATATAGTAGAATGGATAAAAGCTGGAAGTCTTACCTAGCAGCTACAAATGCACCAATTATCATTGCAAACACTGTCATTTGAATGCCCCACGAAAATTTCTTCCTGAAATAAAGACACAAGAACTTTAATATATCACAGTTCAATTTTCACATCACAGTTAGGGACACATCACAGTTAGGGATGCTAAATTTAGATTAATAGGCTAATCGAATAGTTGATGCAATTTGCAGGGCTGTTGCTACACTTCAAAGGCAAAAGGGCTGCGGATACACAGGGCCAGCAGGGGACTCAAGCAGTCCTCTGCTGGCACCGTGCTTCCCACAACATTTCAAAGTGGCAGTGTTGCGTGGAGCCCGGGATGACTGGCCACTATCACTGACTAGTCTATGAACAAATGACATTCAAAAGAGGGAGATAAGGGAAATACATCAGTAATACACAGAGTGAGTGACCCTCATAAGAAACTCTTTGGGATAGCCTCCCACTCAGAGAATTACAGGGTAGGAAGACTGACACCTATACACAAGGAACTAATGATCCTGCCTACATTGCAAGTAAACATTGTTAGAATCGAACTGCATCAATATAATGAAGCTAGAGCCTTGACCTCATCCAAGACAGCCAAAATACAGTACACCCCCACTATAGAGAATTAATTGTGTAAACCATCTGTCAGAGGAACATAATCTACAGTGGAATCAGCCCAGCGACAAGTATGATTAAGAAGCAACATAGAAAATGCCTTATTAATGTAAGAATCTTAACTTTTCTCCTCCCTTAGGTTTATAGTTAAATATATAAATGTAATGCATTAGATGATTTTTTCTTTGATATAAACACGAAGGTGAAAGACTCATTTAGCACAACTGTGGTTTTTTTTAAATACAACAATGTATTGTGTGCGCTTTCTCTCTTCCTTACCCCCAAATTTCCTAATCCCAATTTACGGCCAGTTAAATCAGAGTGCACAAATCCTTCACATACAAAGGCATAGTAAAATGTTTGCAAGTACTTTTGTAACTGTCAGTAGGTGTGTGCATTACACTTTTACAATCTTAAAGATAACATGACAAAAAGGTTAATTGATGAGCAATAACTCACTTGAGTAAAATTCCTTCAGCAAACATTGTAAACAGAATAGAGAACCTTCTCAGAACTGTGAACATTGGCAAGCTGCAACAGAAAAAATAAGATTAAACAGGAAAAATAATTACAAATGCCAGAGACACTCCAAACTCATCCCACAGTAATACTTTGAATCAATGCCAAATTCTTTTATAGGAACTAAGATAAGCGCTAAACAAAACTGCCACAACAGTAAGGATTCAATGACATCTCTCCAGCTATCAATTTGATAGCCCATACCTGTATTTCACAGGAGAAAGACTACTCCTACCAGCTGTATGTAGTATGTTACATGTTACTTCCAGACTAACAGTAATTAGATTTTATATTTTCAAGCTCAAATCTATGAAATGCAGAGTAACAAATGAGTGTTGATTATATTTATTACCAGATGTATCTATTTATCTTAAGGCTCTGCTCAACTCAAAGTCATCAATTTGTATCATAATGAAAACAGTTTTCCATGAAGTTGATTGTGGGTGTCCCACACACACACACACACACTCCCTCAAAATTGTGTCTTTTCAAAACATGTAAGTCATACTAGTTCCTCCCTCTTCTTCCCCTCTTCCCCGCCCCTTGCTTCAGTAGACCTCTTAGTAGACTCTCTCCCCTCTCCTTTTCTTGTGTCTCCCCAGATGCTAGTTAAATATAAGAAAAGAGACTGCTCTAAGATCATAAGAATTAGCTTCACTGGAGACACTGAGAGATCAGTAAATGCCAGTCAATAAAGTGGCACTTTATAATTTATGGCCCTTTTAAATCTTGCACAATCCAAGGCCAACAAAAAGATTCCTAATTATCAAATAGTTTTTAACCCTCATTCCATGATACAAATCAAGCTCATGTTGATTTTAAAGATTAGTTTCACCTTTATATACAATCTTAGTACATTATAACTTCACTAAATGATAAAAGTTCTCCATACTTCAGTTTCTTTGTGCTGAACAGTCCTGTGATTTGGTTCCCAAAATAAAGCAGAGGTAGTGGAAATGTCTAGAAAATTATAAGAGGACAATGGTCAATAAACAATTAAAGACAGCTAGAGAACTACCCATTCATTAGGAACATAGTTACATGACCAGAATTCTTTCATCCTGAAATGGACAGTTCTCTTACACATATTCAGACTTCAGATAATACAATAAAGCAGTGACTCTATAACAACAGCTTACAAATAGGGAAGTATCTCAGTATGGTGACAAGCAAGGACATTTGTGCAGTCTACTTTAAAGCATGTGTTACAACAGTCTCTCTCAACCAGTGGTATGAGTATCCACAGGGGTACTTGAGAGAAGTCTGGAAGGTACGTCAACACAACTGAAATTTGGAGAAAAATTAATTTTTGTTTTACGTTTTACAGCACTTTATTATTTTTGTACTTTTTACACCCAAAAATGTCATTGACCACCCGGCTACGATTAAATTGTTTAAACAAATGTGTCACAATGGTAGAAAAAAATTGTGTGTATCTGAAAACGGTAGGTACTGGGGGTACTTATTTTTTTTTAAAGGGGGTACTTTTTTTTGAAAAAGGGGTAGTTTATAAAAAAAAGGTTGAGAAACATTGAGTTACAACATACTTTTGAAAAATGAATTTATCTTAAGCAATAGTTTATGAAACATCAACCGAACATCTTTGGTTGAATATAGATATTGTCTTTAAAACAAAAGGGAACATAGGCTGGGAAAATAGATGTGCATGAGAATAGAAAAATAAATAGATGATACAACAACTGTGTTACACAGCAAAAATCTGTGTTGATTACAGAATGTAATATGGCAGAAACCAAGTTATATTTGATTAATAAAATATATTTTTAAATAAAATGCATTATTTCTTTCAAGTTGAGCTAAAAGATGTTACTGAACTTTTTAGAGAATATTCACATGTTAAAGTTGTTAGACCTTAAAAGGATAGTAAGGATTGTGTTATAACCAATGTACATTACATTTACATTTGACACTATGGGGGAAAAACATTTTACCTTTCGAGGTATATTTCTGTCGAAGTCTGGAAACTTCACCACCCTGAGCGCCTTTCCCACCCAAAGCACAATCACGGTGGCCAGCATCTGTAAGAGGAGCACAAAACATTCACTGTTTCACCCACAGACCCCTCCCATACACTGCTAAAAGCATGCAATATTCAGGAATCCAACTAACCTGGCCTAATCCAACACATAGTGAGGAGGGAAATCTATAGATAAAAAAATACAAAAGTCAGTAAATTAAACATTATACTTTCAAACACATTTGTGTGTGAGAGAGAGAGAGAGATCACATAAAAATATAATCTGCCCCCCTTTCAAAGGTGGCTCCTTTACTTTGCCATATCTGCATTAAACATTTCCAGGCCAAAGTTTAAAAAGGCTGGATGTATCTCTCTACTTAAGAGCATTCAATGCCCATGACCCTATAGCTTTGGCATGCTAAAGGTTTGTTCTCCCATGGCCCACAGTCTTAGATGCTCTGAACACTTCCTTTCAGGAAGAGGACCGGCACCCCAGCCTGCTCCACACAAGCAGAACCCCCCCAGCAATTAGCAATTACCTGGGGAGCTCATCGGAACCATGCACCACCCTAGTGCAGCAATGAGTGTCAGCCATGTCACTTCCAAGCAAGGGGGGGGGAAGACCGGGGTACTTTAAAGCGGTAGTGCTGTGCGGAGCCTGGGGTCCTGTGCTCCATGTGGCGCTGCCGCTTTGAAACACTGAAGCAGCGTTTCAAAGGGGCAGCGCTGCACAGCTGATCTTGGGTTCCGTGGGGCACTGCCTCTTTGAAATACCATCACAGTGTTTCAAAGAGGCAGCGCCGCCCTACTGACTAATCAAATAGTCAATGCAAAAATGCAACAACTATTCGATTAGTCAATTACACAATACTTAACATCCTTAGTCTGCACCTAAGCTGGGGGGTGGGATCAGAACTGAGGCACCAAACACACACAGCCACGATCTGCAGCCAGAAGGCAGAAAGGGGCAAATGCCTTCACCCCTGTGTTTGCAAGAGGGGAAGGTGTGTGTGTGTGGGGGGGGGGTGCCCTAGCCCATGCCCACCCCACTGGGATATTTATCAGGTTCTTACCCCCCTACATTCCCCTTCTCAGTGCTGTAACTCCCTCCCTGAGCCTAGTGGCATGGGGTGAATATTGCTCAGAGCAGGGGCCAATGGGGGAGGCTGTGAAGAGGAGCCACCCAGAAGGTCAGGGGGGCACATGGATCACCACATTTAGGAGGTGCAGGGGGCTACCCAGAGAGCAGGAGGGCTCCCCATTTAGGAGGCACACAGGGCCACCCAAAGGGCAAGGGGGCTCCTCATTTAGAAGGTGCACAGGGCCACCCAGAGGGCAAGGGGGGCACGTGGGACTCCCCATTTAGGAGGCACACAGGGCCACCCAAAGGGCAGGGGGCTCCCCATTTAGGAGACGCACAGGGCCCCCCAGAGGGCAAGGGGGGCACGTGGGGCTCCCCAGCACAGGGCCCCCCAGAGGGCAAGGGGGGGCAAGGGGGGCACGTGGGGCTCCCCATTTAGGAGGCGCACAGGGCCACCCAGAGGGCAAGGGGGGCACGTGGGGCTCCCCATTTAGGAGGCGCACAGGGCCACCCAGAGGGCAAGGGGGGCACGTGGGGCTCCCCATTTAGGAGGCGCACAGGGCCACCCAGAGGGCAAGGGGGGCACGTGGGGCTCCCCATTTAGGAGGCGCACAGGGCCACCCAGAGGGCAAGGGGGGCACGTGGGGCTCCCCGTTTAGGAGGCGCACAGCGCCACCCAGAGGGCAGGGGGCTCCCCATTTAGGAGGCGCCTGGGGCACCCCATTGAGCACTTAAAATATTGACGGGGGGAGGGGAGATGCGGATGCGGATGCGCAGCCTCCCCCCCCGGTGCTACCACGAGTCATCTCTGGCTCCGGGCCCCGCCGCACGAGTTAATGTGCAACCAGCCCCGGCTGCCTGCCCGCGGCTCCCGC